TAAATATGATAAATATAAATAATGTGTTTGATCTATCATTGAAATATATAATATTTTAATATAAAAAACTTTATGTCATTATAATTTCCTAGAATAAGCATTAAACATTTATCAATAAATGCCGGTATAAACAAAATATTTGAGATTTGGATCGTCAAATAAATATATCGATTTTTCATTTCGATATTTGTTTATAACGCTTTGTTTATGTACATTTTAAATCAATGTATAACATTTTTAGATGTGTTTTAGAAATATTTTATCTGAGAAACCTAAAAAAAAATGCTTTTTTAAAAGATTCGAGACATATGAGAAATCATTAAGGGAATCCACGTACAGGCATCCCTCGACTAATGCGTTTTCGATTTCTGTGCAAAAATTTTTTCTACAAATATTCGATAAGTTTGAAATGGTTTATTTTGTCATATCAACTTCGATGATATTAAAAAAAAAATGAAAAAACTTTTATTGTTATTAAAATTTTTCAGAAATATATTTGCAAAGATAATGATCTTTTCTTTCAAAAACTATTTCTGTAGTTATTTTCTAATTCAGGGTCGATAAAAATCAATTAAATTTAATATTTTAAAAAACCATTCTATTTCTGAAAAATTTATATTTTTTGACGTTATAGACTGGTAATTTTTTTCAGCAAAATGTATAGCTGATAATATTTTTTAAAAAATATATTCCTAGTAATATTTTTCCTTCAAAAATCTGATTTTAATATTTTTTTTTCGAAAATATAATCGTTGTAAATTTTTTCAAATTATGGCAAACTAATAATGTATTTTTTTAATAATTTTGGTTCAAAAATTTATTGTTGGAATTAATTATTTTACAAAATATTTGAAATTAAAAGGGAACTTTCTTTCATATTCCTTTGATCCCAGTCTGGGGTGAGATTATTTGCCCATAGCTCCATTAGTTATTTGTGTGAGTGAATTCAGTGTGGATCTTGGAAGGATCAAAAATTAAGAGACGGTTTGACGTTCCTTCAAAACCTCCTAATCAGCCTTAATGTTGGATGTAATTATCGTTTTACTCAAAACACGGATGAATTTTTTTATTCGATAAAAAGTGAGATTATATTCTTATTGGTTTAAACATTCTTCAGTTTAAGATATATAAAAAAAAATTAAAAGAACAGTGTCCCATGTACAAATTAACTGCACTAATCGAGGGATTCCCGTATGTTATTTCGGATATTTCTTGGACAAAGAACAATTACTAGTAGGAAATGTCTATAGAAAAGATGGAATATATGAACTTTAAAAAAAATAGCAATCTGAAGAATTCAATGAAAACTTATAATTCTTGATATCGTAATATTAATAGTGGTTATGAGGAACCAACGGATAAAGAATACGCCGAAATCTAATCTTTATATCAAGAAAGAATAAGATGCTAGATTAAAACTTTTAATGGTCGGTCTAAGATAAATCATTACAGAATTTTAGTTAATATTAGAAATATAGAAGAACGTATCATACAAAATGTAATCCTCCAAAAACAATAAGAATTCTCGTTATAATAATTTCTTAAATACTGATAAGGTTTCATCTCCAAAACTGATATTGAAATAACGTAATTCGACGCCACGTGTTAACTGTAACTCTACTTAATTTTTAATGATATGCGTTAATCGTGTATAAGAGAAAAAGTTTATTTTCGGTCTGTGTGAAGGTATTTTTATTGCCTGAGACAACAATGAAAATGCTGGTGAAATTCATCTTATCTCTAAGTTGCAGACTATCAGGATTGAGGTAATTAGCGAATAATTCCATAATAAAACTATCTGATGAAAAAAAAGAAGATAAAAACGACACTTCTTTGAGTAAATTCTTGAATGTTCATCTGCTTATTGCTAATTAACCAGTCCAAATTTTTGTATCAAAATATCGTCTTTTGTATTAAGATTCGTTTTGTTTCCATTTCGATAAGTTCTAAAGCAGCTGACACATAATCTATCTTTATTCCTTAATTCTTTAGAGATTGTTTTGACTTGAACACATTTTCCCTATCTTGATTCTGTCGGCATTGTATCGACGGATATCAAGCGTCTATTTGATCGATTTCTTTATCGTAATTATATCTTATTCAAAATTTAATGTGATTGGCTTTGATAGATCGATACAGTTTCACAATGATCAACGGAGAGTTTCGCAACCTTCCAATACGTTCGATTATAACATTTTTATGGATGAAAATATAATGACTTTCAGTATCCTTTATGTATATCTATACGTTTGAAAGTTTTTCTTTATTGCTTTTGTTATATAGGAATAAAGTGTCGCTGCTGGCACTTGAGTTTGAACATTGATCGCCATTGAGTAAACACAGGCGATCCCGTTATTGAATTAAGTAGACCACGTAAGCATAGAGGAAACGAACTTATGGTAGGTAGCCTGTGTCTAATTGTTCTGCATTTCTAGTCTATCCTCTATTAATATTCGGATAGCTATTTCTCCTCTATCATCTATTACTGTACAGATCACCATTTCTACTCTATGACTATACGGGTCGCTATTCTCTATACTATTTTACTATACAGATTACTATTTGAGTGAGTATTATCGAGCAAGTTACGCGTCCTGTGTATGACGATAAACTACATCCGCGTCATGGGTAAGACGATAAACTACGTCCAGCAGCAAGGCCTCTGATCAGGATGTTTTGAGGAACGTGGAACCACCTCTTAATTGCTAGTGTTCCCAAGTCCACCACGAACCAGAGTAGTAACACCTGTTAGGGTAACAGCTATGGAAAAATAGTTAACACTGAAACTATGAAAGTGTAAAAATAAGTTTTCCTACAAGAAATACTTTGTAAAAAATTATTACCTGCAATAAATTTTGGAAGAAAAAAAAACTATTACCGGCAATATATTTTTGAAAAAAAAAAAGAAAATATTTGAAACCTGGACAGACATGTTATCAGACAAACGTCATGCCAACGTTCCAACGAGCCTTGGTGACGAAGAGGTAGCGAATCAGAATCGGTATAGCGCCGCTCGAACACATATTCTGTGTTGGAACTCATCCGAAAAATCGCCAGTGATATATTTTTGAAGGAAAAATATTACCAGAAATAGATTTTTGATAAAACAAAATAGTACCAGCAATAAAAAATTTGTCGGCATTACATAACCCATTGAGGTTGATATGCCGTAAAACAAAACAAACCAAACCGATCAAGTGCCATTAGTGCGAGTGTTATTCGATGGCGTCTGGCACCAGCATTGTTTAACGGTGTACTATCGTTGTATCTGCGATTATAAAGTCTCTACTACGAAGAGTATTTCAAAAGGGACCAGGAGTAGTCGTTGGCATTATAAAAGTAGCATAAGTGTTCGCCGACATCACAAAAGCTTTTAAGGACAATACCTTAAATAGGTTTAACTTTTATTCCTCTAAAATGCCGGGAGTGATAAACACATGGGCGAAAGATCCACAGCGTCTATGCCTTGTCACAGCGTTTTGTTTAGAACCACTGTATTAAGTCCTAGGAGTCCATTACTTTCTGTCTCGTAGGTGAGGGCAGTTGCTTTCTTGGAGCAGCCATGCTAGCAGGATTTGTTTTTTATCTTCTTTTAGCCATTTACTAAATGTGGGGAAAATTGTGAAAATGGCCTACCTCGGAAACGCGTTCGAATCTGCGCAGTATGTAAACTCTGGTCCATTCAACTGTAAAAAAGAAAACCAAAATGGCGGCGCCCGCGTTTTATGCCGAGCGGTCTCGGTCAGTTAACGTGAAATCGTGGTCGGTCCGCAGCTGTATAAAGCAGGCTCGTTTCTGCTGTTTCAAATGAGAGGGTTTTCGGCTCGTGAGAAGGTTGGACGTGCGACACCGGTTTTCTTTGTGCCTACCTGCTATCATCAGTTGAATTGTTGAGTTACACACCACAGAGACATAACTTACAAGGCAGCAGGTGGTTTTAATTCAAAGTTTTCCATCACGTAGGCTGTACGGCGTGGTATCTCCTGCTATTTACCCATAGCGAGGAGGAAGACGTGGATTCATAACTTATCTACAAATATTCGATTACTTTGGCATGGTTTGTATTGTTTTACAGTATATCAACCTCAATGGCTTATTTAATGCCGACAAATCTTTTATTGCTGGTAATATTTGTTTTGTTTTTTTAAATGTATTGCTAGTAATATTTTTTCCTTCAAAAAACTATTTCTGGTAGTATTTTTTTCCTTAAAAAACAATATCTGGTAATATTTTTTTCCTTTAAAAAATCTATTTCTGGTAATATTTTTTCTTCGAAAATATATCACTGGGAATATTTTTTTGTTCAAAAATGTATAGATGGTAATATTTTTTTTCAGAAATGTATTGCTAGAAATATTTTTTTCCTTCAAAAATTTATTTCTGCTAATATTTTTCCTTCAAAACATCTATTTCTACTAATATTTTTTCCTTCTTAAAATCTATTTCCGCTAATATTTTTTCTTCGAAAATATATCGTTGGTAATATTTTTTTTTCAAAATGTATAACTGGAAATATTTTTTTCAAAAATATATTGCTGGTAATAAGTATTTTACAAATATGAATACTAATTACTAAGTGACTGCAATGAACTCGACTGGAATTCGAACTCGTTTCTCCCAATTTATCATTCCTAGACTTTATCCATTACTACACTGTGCGTCTCCGCCTCTCCTTTCTTTTGTTGAATATAAAACATTCATATGTCTGAAGTTTTATTTCATGTAAAATGTTTCCATATTCACTTCTTTCTTTCTTTTTTACTCTCCATTATTTGTTAACTAATTCTTTATTTCTGTATTTTTTTGATTTAACCAATCATTTTATCGTCTTATCTGTCGCGAAGTAATTCACGATATTTACTAAGCTTAACTGAACAATATCCAAGATATACTGAGAAGGAAATTAGCGGAGGAACACTGTCGGAAAAATATCTCATAAATGCCAGCATCTGCCAATATCAAAGTCGGCTTTCCGAATCGCTGGCTTCTGGTTACATCACGTTAAAACACGCGTTCTCATACGATCACCGAAGTTAAGAAACGTCGAGACTTGTTAGTACCTTAATGGGTGACCGCTTGCAAATACCGGATGCTTGTAGTGTAGTAAATAACAGCTCCGATTTGGAAATCGGAGAGACGAGATCGAATTTCAGTCAGGTTCATTATATTCAGTTACGCGCATATACTCTTGGGGCGGTAAGACTCCACCTTTTTTTTCTGTTTTTTTTTTTTTTTAATTCATCCAAATATTCACTAGTCAACTACGGTATTTCCTGTAGGAACAACTGCTGTTCTCTGAGAACAAATAAGAGAAGGTATTCAGGGCATTTTTTTCATTTTATATCTAAGATTCTAGGTCAGGTTGGGCTCAGTTAAATGTCTTTTTTACTGCCAAAACACATTCCCAGAACATGAATTTAAAAAAAAATTCTCCCATTTTTTTAACCTGTACAGGCCACACGTTTCGTCATTAATGATTCAACGAGCAAGCACCTAGTTTAATGTGTGTGAACATCTTAAGCGATATCAAAAATATTCATCAACTGTACACCAGAAAGAAATACATCGCTGAAATCTGAAGACGAATTTGGATGGCCAAACATACACCCCTATATCTAAGCAGAATATTAAGTGACAGACAAACTTTGCTAGAAACGAAAAAAGAAGTGCTAAACTGTTTCGTGATATCTGTTCTCCTATATGACAATGAGTTCTGGACAATCTCCGCAAAGATGAAGAAGAGACGAAGCAACATAAATGTGTTTCTACAGAAAGATGCTGAGGGTACCGTGGATTAAACATGTGAGCAACGATTATAACAATGATAAGAAATATTATAAACGTAAAACTAATTAAGAGCAACAGGAAGTTGAAGAGAGTCATGACCAAGTTACGTCCCTATGATCTTCTAAGTTCAAGTCGAGCTCTTTGGAAATCAAATATGGTTTTATTGTGAGACACTTCTTATGGATCATATTTTTTGTATCGAATGAATATCCCGTCCGATAATCTTTTGACTGAATACTATATCTCATTCCTTATATACGGTTGTAAACGTCAGAGATCTATGTCACGCTTATAAACTAAATAGGAATTAAATATATCGCATTATACTAGAGATGTAAAGGGTTGTCTTTGCCGTTTAAAGAAAGTAAATAGCAACAATCCAAATTCACACACATGGTTTTCTCATTCCTCTTGGATGACCTCCCCCTCAGTCACTTCCTATCTCTGGCCATATTGGGCCGTATGGGGTCGTGATTTCGCCTCTGAACGTCGCGTCTTCTTGCCTTTGACCGCCGTCTAGTTCCACTATCTTGGTGCCTACTTTGTCGTTCAAATCCTCCACCTATTGTCTCCGAGGCGAGAGACGTGGTCAGCCCTTCTTGATGGTCACGATTATGTCGTTCACTCCAGTCTTCTGTCAAATCCAGGTGTTGCTCGTCAGATAATGCCTAGCATGATTTGATTTCCCTTTACGTTGGCACCAAGCGTAAAAGTAAATTCATAATATAACGTCTCATGAGAGAGTTAATATGAACGAATATATATCTTTACATTCGCCTCACGAAGCAAAAATCAACGTTTTATTTTGTTAAGCGACTCAAACTGACGGAATTAATTCTATCCTTTTTGTCCTTTTTGCAATATTCGTACATTTTATGTACGTGTAAATCTCGATAAATTCGCGGTACTTAACGTATTTATGCACATTATAAAATCTTATATTATTGAAAACATTAAAATAGCATTAGTTATAAATTATATGTTTATTAAAAGTTCGTTAATAAATTCATATATATGTTCCATTTGCAAGATGCTAGAAAAACGATCTGTTTAATGTACCAATCCAGAAAGGATATGATTTAGTTTTTACAAAAGTCGTTCAATTAAGTATTCCTACATCAAATAATTATTCGTAGTTTCAATACGTATTTGTTGTTTAAAGATGCATTCATCGTTCAATAATATGCTTTACTCGTTCAGATATGTATTCATTTTTCAAATACGCTTTCGTGTTTTTAAATAAGTATTCGGCGTTCAAATGCGCAAATTCAAATGCGAATTTGTCGTTCAAAATACATATTCTTCGCTCAAATACGCATTCATTTTTCAAAAATGTAAGAAGAATACATATTAAATGACGAATACATATTTGAAAAAACGAATATTTATTTCAACAATGAATAATTATTTGAACGAAAAATACGTACATAAATGACGAATACATATTCGGATTTGACTTGGAATATTTACTTGAAATACGAATGTGTATTTGAAGGTTAGATTTACACTGTGCAAATTAATTGAAACAAAACGAATAATTCTGTTTTTATTTACTTTATTCGTATTTTACAATGAAACATGACCCAGTGCCCACGTTAGTACTTCGTATGTTCATTCCACTAATTCGTTCCTTGCAGTTTGACAACAGATTCTCTACTTGATTTAAATCAGGAGAGTTTTCGAGCCAGTCGCTAGCACTTTGATTTTCTCACTGGTAAGGCTTTCCAGTTTGTTCGTGCAGCGTTAGAATTTTCGTACGCTTCTTTGGAGTGACGTCCATCACAGATAATGAACGTAGGACAACTAATCGACAGTCGAGACAATAGTGAAAATCTGCTGCGATCACGGATGAAGCAATATTTTTTTTTTTAAATCTAAACAAATTTCATCATACAACCCGAAAATAGATTCATATTACTGCACACCATTGCAAATGACCTAATCTGAGGAAGAAAAGAAATCGATTACACCATGTCACTCTAGTTGGTCTAAAAACTGACCGGATTGTGAAATAAAGGAAACTAAGCTGTTGTTTAATTTACACATGGGTTTATCTATTTTATATGTGGCAAAGTTCTTTTAATACGAATTCTCAGATAAGGATTATGTAAAATTTACTTAATAATATAACACGTAATCTTCGAAGACTGGTTTGAAAGAAATTTCATGTACTTTGGATTATAAATTAAGATGCGATGCGACACCACGAATTACGATTTTATGTAAAGTTGCTGTTTTGCCATCCATCACCTAAAATATATTTTAATGTTGAATACAGGGTCAGAGGAAATGTATTAACTCTTCCCTTTTCATTTTAAAGAAGATAAATTTTATTTCATATGATATAAGTTCATACAATATTATCGATTTTATCAAGCACACAACAATCTCTTCTCACCCCTCTATCGATCGAACTATCTAGTAATTTTCACACGTCCTACAAGCAATTGACGTTTCCCAAATTCTCCAAATAAACTACATCCTATCGGCACTAAAAGCCTCCGGTCTGATGAAGACTGCTCCTTATCTTAGTCATTTCGTGCATTGTCAAAACCTGAACTAACGTAGATATTTATGTTACAAGTGGTAAGCTAGCTCTCGGGCAGATTTTCTTGTCAGGACTTGACGTGGCTTCTTTTCCACCGACCACCAAAACTCCTTAAGGAGATACGACATCTAATGCATATATAGTAACACAACATAGATCAGGCATGTTTACTATAAGAGGAAAGGAAAGAATCGTGTTACTTTCATAATATTTCCCAGAGATATGAGCTTCTTTTAACCATTTTGTTTCTCTCTATATAAGGTCTTGACAAACATCTCTGGTGTCATTTCTTGAACAATATTAATGAAAACTTAGAAGTGTAGTGAAAGTTACCATATCTCTTATTCCTTATTTCGTACACTTTCTGCATACATTTCGGTTTTCCCATTGCCATGGCTTTCTTTACATGTAAGTGATATTTTACGTGTTGTTTTGTGTAGAAATAACGATCTGTGAGAGTGAATTCTGTTAAAGTATTTTAGAACTAGTTGTTTCTTAACATACGACGTATGTACATTCTGATATATATATATATATATATATATATATATATATATATATATATATATATATATATATATATATATTTATATTGATAATAAACGGTGGTCAATATATATATATATATATATATATATATATATATATATATATATATATATATATTTTTAAAAGAAAATTTTTTGTTTAACTGACATTTATTTTATACAACAAAATAACATTGTTCATTTGCTCTGTTTATGATAAACAGAGAAATTTTTTTAAATCGGGACAAAATATTTGGACAACGTTAAATATAAGAATAATTTTCAGAAAATCTTTTGTCGGACCTTGTCCATTTCTTAATATATGACGTCATTTGTTTACATTCGATACGCCAGAGCAGTTATGAATGTACGAGATTCATGGAAAGTTGGAGTTTATAAGCAGTAAATTGACCTTGTCTACCGATTGGTTCTTTGTAGCTCAAGCGGTAAAGGCACGTCAGCGTATATGACGGTTCCGTATAGGATGCAGGTTCGAATCCTGTCAAAGAACGAAAATTTTCTATGAAAATTTTCTCGGACATTCAGGCCGGTAAATGTTATTTAATACTGTTTATCATAAACAGAGCATTTGCTTAAATACTTGTATCTATAAAATAACAACGTTAAACATAAAAATATGTCTTTAATAAATAAATTGTCGGACCTTGTCCATTTATTAATATATATATATATATATATAAATTCCCAAGAGGATAGAATCCACGTAGAACTTAATGTCCAGGACAGAGTAAGAATATAAATATGTATTTTGAATTTATAGGATCGTGATTACGATTCCAATGTAATAAAATTATAACCATGGAATATTAGTGTTCGAGCCTTTCATATATATATATATATATATATATATATATATATGTTCGAGAATATGTGCGTGTGCTGTGTGTGTGAATTTGGAACAAATATGGATTAGGATTAAACAGAATGATACAAATAGGAAACGTTTATATATGTAACGTTTCGGTTTTACTTGAGCTTCATCAGAAATTTATATATTTATATATATATATATACATATATATATATATATAATATGAAGAAAATATTGGGAAATTCTATGACAAATTGGCAAATGTTTACTTGTGACGCCTTTCGTCCTTTATCGGACTAAATTATTTTATGATGTACAGCTACATATGTGCACGAACAAGAGGCGCTTGTACTCATTTTTATGTATAAATTCATTTAGAGTGTTTTTTTTTCTTTTTCA